GGTTCAGTTGCGAGAGGCGGAAGCGCTGCTGCTGCTTGTGCGTTAAAGCACTTGGGCACTGTGTGCCTGAAGAAGAAGAGGTGCGAGCGATACTCCATAGCTAGGCTAGAGGCAGAGCAGGAGGACGGCGGCCTTTGCCGCCAAGGCGTAAGCTTACCTGACTGGGTGTATCCAGGGTGATGATCTATGTTTAGTGAGTGTGTCTCTCTCTCTCTCTCTCTCTCTCTCTCTCTCTCTCTCTCTCTCTCTCTCTCTCTCTCTCTCTCTCTCTCTCTCTCTCTCTCTCTCTGAGTGCTCAGAGAGAGAGAGAGAGAGAGAGAGAGAGAGAGAGAGAGAGAGAGAGAGAGAGAGAGAGAGTGAGTGAGGCAGAGCGAGCCAAGTGAGAGAGAGAAGCAAGAGAGAGAGAGAGAGAGAGAGAGAGAGAGAGAGANGAGAGAGAGAGAGAGAGAGAGAGAGAGAGAGAGAGAGAGAGAGAGAGAGAGAGAGAGAGAGAGAGAGAGAGAGAGAGAGAGAGGAAGAGATTGGGGTGAGAAACCATAGCCGCCACCTGATTGGGATCCGTTCTCTGTGTGTGTGTGTGTGTGTGTGTGTGTGTGTGTGTGTGTGTTGTCTTGCTATACACATCTCCACGTCATGTTTGCTATACACAACTCCACAATAAAACACAATTACCTGTCCAGACTTTCCTGCCGGACATTCACCGAACTCAACAGGAGGTTGTGTGTGTGTGTGTGTGTGTGTGTGTGTGTGTGTGTGTGTGTGTGTGTGTGCTCGCGCTCATGCGGGTCTGCGCTTGCGTATCTGTCTATCTGTCTTCAATAGTGTGTTCGAATCTTTCACTAGCCACCTGATATACAAACATTGATTGTGTAATGCAAAACATTGCCTTATAGGGCTAATACTAGGGTGACACAGTACATAGCCACAAACTCCGGGCGTACTCACATTAGCACTATCTTATATGTATCTGACTGCATTTACGGCCCAACCTGTATGCATCTGGCTGCAATTCCGTCCAAAATAAGTACAAAAGTGGTAGTGTGTGTATGCCCTCCCACGAGCTATGTTTTTCATCCTTCTGTTGAGCCTTTCGATGAGCACATTGGCACTCTGTCAACGAACGACTGAGATGGCGGGAAAGCGGGTACTTCCGCACACATCCAGCAGCTATGATACGGCCTCATTCCTCTTGTGTGCTATTGTGTAACTTTTACTTCCATCTGTCTGCAGATCATTAAGGAGGCCTATCGACTGGTGAGGCCTGGGGGCTCATTCGCTATCATGGACATGAACCCTGCAAGTCCTGCTTGGCAGAAAGCAATGAGCAATCCTGTCCTTTTCACTGTGGTAAGTTCTGCTTTTCCTTTTTACCGCCAATGGGCCTACCTCCGTTTTGACACCCATGAAAAAAATGAACACGTAAGTACGAATCCAGACGACAGAAGTGGTTAAATGCATTTATGCTTTTCACTGTGGTAAGTTCTTCCTTTTCCTTTTTAGTAGTTTTTACCAATGGGCCTACCTTCGTTGGTACACCCATGAAAAAAATGAACACGTCAGTACGCATCCAGCCGACGGAAGTCGCTAAAATTCCGTTAAATGCATTTATGATTTTTCTGAATTACCTGGGGCCGGTCAATTCCACAATGATATCAC